ATAAATTACGAAAATAAAAAAAGAACTAGTGAGGATAGGACTGTGGCATTAAAAAAACCACATAATTCACAGAATGTTTCTGATGAATTTCTTAATGAGGTAAATTGTTTTATTTTTCTATTTATTTCAGATTTTTAGATATTGTTCTGAAATTCATTATTTTTTTATATAGTTTAGAAATTGTATTACATTTTATGATGAAAATTTTATAAATAAGATTTATGGATTAACACAAGATCCAGTTACAAAAGAATATATCTTTGTAATGGAATACACGCAATATGGAAGTCTTCAATATTATGAAGATCAATATTCAGAGAAAAGAGATGAAAAGTATGGAGAATGTCCAACATGCAATAGATATAATACTTATTATTCATGGTGTCAATCATGTGATCCAAAACTATTAACTGAAGGATGGACTAGTGGCAATGAAACATTAGATGAGTTGATTAAAAGTACACAACTTAAAGCAATTGAGTATCATTATAGTAATCATCTTCAATGGATTCCTTATAATGATTTAACAAATATTGAAAAGATAGGTGAAGGTGAGTTTGCAGCTATATACAAAGCTACTTGGTTAAATGGTTATAAAAGTATAGATTATTATAACAATGAAAGAATTAGCAAAGATATGACTGTGGCATTAAAAAAACTACATGATTCACAGAATGTTTCTGATGAATTTCATAATGAGGTAAATTATTTATTTTTTTATTTATTTTCAGATTTTTTAATTATGATTAAATATTTTGTTATTTTAGCTCAAAAATTATACAAAGTTTCATGATAAAGTATATATTTATGGATTAACACAAGATCTGATTACAAAAGAATATATCTCTGTAATGCACTACATGGAAGATGGAAGTCCTCAAAATGATGAATATTCTGATGAAAGAAAGGAATATTATGGGGAGTGTCCAACATGCAATAGATATAATACTTATTATTCATGGTGTCAATCATGTGATCCAAAACTATTAACTGAAGGATGGACTAGTGGCAATGAAACATTAGATGAG